GTTATTTCTAACAAATATTAGGTTTTAAAATTTTGTCCCTTAGTTTTGGACGCTACTGTATATATATATATATATATATATATATATATATATGTGTGTGTGTGTGTGTGTGTGTGTGTGTGTGTGTGAGTATGTATGTATGTATGTATAATTATATATATATATATATGTATTATTTTGTATATTTAGGCAGCAATCCTTCGTTTATAAATGTTTCATTAAAAATTTTAGACAAGAGTACTACGGTTAAGCTTTTTTTATTTAATTTTTCTTGTGTTCGAAAAAGAGCTTTCTTTTTCTGGACAAAGGATCTATAAGAACTGTCCAAATGTTTTATATTTCCGAGCGCTTTCAGCTATACCTTTAGCCATTTCCAAAGATGATTCAATTTTTCAGCATAATTGAGTGTATGCGTTCTGTGTATGTCTTAGTGTTTGGTAGGGATGTTTTTAATTTCCCAATACAGTTTGTTGGATTGTTCGACTTGTTTATGAAGTTCGCTTTTTCAACTACATCGCTATTTATATATATATATATATATATATATATATATATATATATATATATATGGTGTGATGTATAAATTGCCGTTTTAAATTACGTAAAAGGAGATAACACCGACATCTCATTTTATCTTGAAATACTAAATTTATTCAATAAAATCGCCATTGGCTTCAACTACGGCTTACAGACGACTTCGGAATCTCCTGCAACTCTTCTAGACGGTCTCCAATTTTAAGTTGGTGAATGCTGACACAATGCTTACATTCAGTTCATCTTTGGCGTTTCAAGGAATTTCCTTGGTTTCTTACTCAACTGCGCCACACAGATGATAATCAAGAGGGTTGCAGTCTGGGGAGTGAGGTGACCAGATTTAAGCGGGTGATGTAGCCGCAGAAATTGTCTGACAGCCATGACTGGGTTCCCCTGCCTGTGTGACATGGTGCAGAATCCTGTTGCCAGATATAGAATCTTCCAGCAGCCATCCCTTTGATCTAGGGCACATGATGAAAGCCTCCGTGTTGAGTCTGAGGCCCTATGGGAAGATGAATGGAGGCATGACATCGCCTACACTAGTGATCCCACCAAACACATTCGTAATCACCATTAGACCCATTCAACTCTTTGCGAACCTTTTGCACTGTCTTCATATTGACACCCAAACAGACTGAAATGTTCGCATTGAACTTCCGGTGCGAATGCCAAGCAGTACAGCATGTTGTTTCCAAATTTCTGGCAGAGTGAATTGCGTCATAGTGCTCTTTTTCTAATAGATGGTGCCCAACTGACCCCACTATACTGTGCAGTCGACAAAATCAAAAGCAAACAACGCGCATGCGCGACATTAAAAATATAACAAGGCGACAAGTTATCCATCACACCATATATATATATATATATATATATATATATATATATAAATATTTGTATTTTGTATGAATGATTCATGTAATTATAAATTAAAATTGCACCTATAATCGAAATTAAAATAACTGATCCAACGTGCAACTTTCGGATAATAAGTGTGACATTCCTGTGATTATTGAACAATATAGTTCAAGCCACATTGACGGAAAATCTACCAGTAAAAAAAGAATTCTCTTATTGCTATATTTGTACAAAAATGCACAACATTAAAATTTAAATTCAAACTCAGCGTTGCGACCGCACGTTCCAAAACAATAACACAATTTCTCATAGCATTTTTTCGGATTACATCTCTATTTTCGTTGTCTTCTTATTACCAAGAAGTAAAAAACAAGAACAAAATCTATTTCCATTCCTGATGATGTCTGTAGGAACAGACGAAACCTTGTAAAAAATTAAAAAGACCTTATACAACTGGAATTTATAAACAGGGATCATATCATTCATATACAGGTTCGAGTTTAGTGTACCTTATTGAAATTGTTTGCGACGATGTATTCTCGCCATTTAAATCATTAACCTCTATGTTTTTTGTATGAATGATTCATGTAATTATACATATATATATATATATATATATATATATATATATATATATATATATATATATATATATTTTTATATATTACATATAATATAATATCAGTCTTGTTCTGTGTGTATGTCTGTCCTGGTCTAATTGTATCTATCTGGTTATTCTTAACTTTCAATGTTTCATTTTTTCACTCCTCATTTTTTTTTTTTTTTTTTATTCCAAATATTTTCTCTTTTATATTTTACAAATGTTTTTCCCTTTGTCCATTTTGCCCCTAATTTGTCTTTGATCTTCAAATTTCCCCCAGGGACGTTTTTTTTTTTTTTTTTTTTTTTCAAAGTCCATCAAAGACAAATAGACTTTTCATCTTTATTTTAATGGTAGACACGCATTTTTGCATCAGCCGGAAAAAGACGACACACCAAAGCAATCAAGCATATATCGTCAAAAACAACAGAATCTCCTCCCTTTTTATCTCTCGCTTTCTCTATCTCTCCGGCTTATCATTATCTCCCCGCTTTTCATCTCTCTCTCTCCACATTTTTCTCTCCCTATTTTATTTTTTGTTGCTTTCTATCCTCTTACTTTCTTTTGATTAAACTTTTTCGTCTTTATTATATATATACATACATACATATTTATATATATATATATATATATATATATATATATGTAATAAATGTGTGTGTGTGTTTATATATATATATATTTATATATATTCTTGTTTTTTCGACAACAAACTCCAAATTAAAAAAATAACCAACAGAAGAGCGATGTTAGTAAACGGTCTGGTTTTTTTATCAAAGGTTCATGCAAGGAGTCTTTTTCCGCCACGACTCCATAAAATGCCACATGTAGTGACAACAAAAGAATGGATAAAAGAAATTGGTCAACCATTGCACATCTTATGGTGTTTTTCTTTTTAATTGTTTGATGGATGCGAATTGCCAGGGATATGCAGAAAGGACGAAAGACATACTGATACAAAGACGTTAAAATAGAAAGAAAACATACATACATATATACGCACATAAAAATGGCCGGCTACCCGGCAGCCCATCCGTCCGCGAGAGTGACTAGCCCATCTCATTTGTAGCCATCTACTCAGGCACATCTGTTTTTGTTCGACGCCCACAGAAACTTGTGCTGCAGTTTTACCCATTTACAGATTCTGGGAGAGAGGGCGTCATTGAGACCATTAGGCTCAAACACTCGGTCACGATGACTTGTCATTTTGGGCTCGCACGGCCAACGACGGCTAGTTCGAACTCTGAACAGTTTTGTCTACACAATTTCAATCACAAGGCAACCTTTGTTACAAGAACTTTATAAAGATGCCAACGCTGGGATTGCCTCGTCATGAATAGACGGATAAGATCCTCACAAATAACATAGTGAGATTCGAAGCGAACGTTCTAACCATTCACAGTGGGATGCTTATAGAAAGATAAATAGATAGGAAAATATTAGGTAGGTAGGTTTTCAATTTGAACAAATTGAGATAGATAGATAGATAGATGATTATTTGATATCACAGTGATTTATAGATAGATAGATTTGAATAAATAGATAGATAAAAGAATATAGATGAATGAATGAATGGATAATTTGTAGATAGATAGATATCATAGATAGATAATGAGATAGATAGATAGATAAATAAGATATTTTAAACAGGGTAAGATAGATAGATAAGAGATAACTATGGATTTTTGGGATAGATAATGAAATATTCAGACTGAGATAGATAGAATTATAGACTGGGATAGATAGATAGATACGCACACAGGGATAGATAGATAGATACCTAGATATTTAATAAGATAGATAGATAGATATTTTAGATAGATAGATAATGGAACATATAGATAGATATATACGTAAATAGATAGATAGATAGATAGATAGATAGATAGATAAGATAAATTTCTGAGATAATCAGGGAATAGAATGAATGATGGCACCTAATCCATAGATAATACACTATGTAGAATGAATAGATAAATGAATGATAGATAGATAGATATTGATAATATTACGCATAGAAGAAAAAGATATTGAAATATAGATAAATAGATATGTGTTAGATAGATTTCACACAACACCGCAAATTTCTACAAAATAAATAGATAGATAGATAGATATCTTTTAAATAGAAATTTTAAAAATTCATTTTAAACCTTTGATCAAACATTTAAAAAGAAAGAATATTGCTGGATCGATAATTCAGTCTTAGATAAATAAATATTCACATATGAGATAGATAAATAGATATTAACAGTCTTTGATATACAGAAAATATTTGGTTGGATAGATTTATTTCTATCTCTGATATTGACGATAAAAAATAATAGAAAATTTAAAATAAAAATATAAATAATTGGTATATATATATATATATATATATATTTATTTATATTTTATTGAAAAGCTTTGTTAAAAAACACCGATAAAAAGATATATATATATATAATTATATATATATATATATATATATATATATATATATATATATATATATATATATATATATATATATATTGACAGTCTCCGATAGACAGACCAAAATCTCTCCCTCTCACCTGAGGGTCGGCTCTCTTTTTTTCCGAGGTTCACCTCCCCTCACCCAAATGCCGCCTCTTTTTATTTTATTCTTTACTGTTTTGGGGATCGTGCGATCACCAAAGTTAAGCAACGTCGAGACTAGCCAGTGCCTAGATGAGGAGCTGCTTAAGAATACCAGTTGCAGTAGAGTGGGAGGACCAATCAATAACGACCCAGAATTGCAAATCAGAGAGCCGAGTTTCAATCCCAGTCAGGTTCGATGTATTCATTGACGCGCAAATACGCTTAGTAAATCCGCTTCTTCTCCCCACAAATATGGGTTAATTAGTAGAACTTGCATCAGTAAATCATTAATATCTCAAAAAGATTTCTTACGAACTAAAAATATGTTCTGGCTTTAAATAACCTACAAAAGGTTGATAAGCCGTAAAAAAATAATCAGTCATGTTTTTTTTTTTTGTTTCTCATTGTTATGATTGAATCGCTTTCTTTTTCGTTTTTTTTTCATTTTTCTTTTCATTTAGCAAACATTTTTTTCTTTTCTTCTCTTCATTTCAAGTTTGGTTTTTCTCTTTTTTTTTTCTACGTCTTTCTTTCTTTCTTTTTACATTCTTCAGTCTTTTCTTCTCTCTTTTTCTTTCTTTTCTTCAGTCTTTTATTTTCTTCTGTCTTTTTCTTCCTTCAATCTACTGTTTTCTTCTGTCTTTCTTCCTCTTTCTTTTCTTCAGTCTTCTGTTTTCTTTCTTTCTTTCTTTTCTTTCTTATCTTCTGTCTATCTTTCTTTTCCTTTTTTAATTTTCTGTTTTCTTCTATTTTTCTTTTTTTCTTCTTTTTCTCTTTTCCTCTCTTGCCTTCTAAGTTTCTTTCTTTTCTTTTCTTCAAAATTCTCTTTTTTCTGTCTCTCTTTCTTTTTCTTTCCTTCACTCTCCTCTTTTCTTCAGTCTTTCGTTCTTTCTCTTTCTTTTCTTCGGTCTTGTGTTTTCTATTCTTTCTTTTTCTTACATTCAATCTTCTGTCATCTTCTCTTTCTTTTCTTTTCTTCAATCTTCTCTTTTCTTCTTTCTTTCTTTCTTTCTTTCTTTCTTTTTCTCATTCTTCTTCCTATTGTTTCTTTCTCTTTCTCTGTCTCCCCGTTCCTCCTCCTCTTTGTCGTTTTTTATATTTTTTCTCCTCATCCTTCTCCCCTTTTCAGAATATTCTCTTTTTTCTATTCTCCTCTTCTTTGTTCCCTTCTTTTCCTTTAATTATTTTTTTCTGTTCCGCTTATTTTTTCTGCCTGTTTCTTCTTCCTCTTCTTTTTAATTCTTCTTATTAATAACATCTTTTCATTCTTTTAATTCTTTTCCTCAATGTTGCCTTTTTAATAATTTCTTTTTGTTCAGTTTTTTTTTCTTTCTTTTGCCTCTTTTCTTTTTTTTTCTTTCTTTCTCCCAATTGTTATATTTAACAAAATTTTTCTGTTAAACATTTTTTTCTTTTTTTTTTTTTTTCAGTTATCAGTTCTTCTTTTTTCTTTTCTTCTTCTTCCTTCTTCTTCTTCTTCTTCTTCTTCTCCTCCTCCTTTTTTCTTCTTTTTTTTGAGGAGCATGAAACTTCTTCTTCTTCTGGTCTTTCTCCTCCTACCTTTACCTTCTTGCTTTTGAATTTTCTTCTTCTTCTTTCTCCTCCTTCTTTGTTCCCTCTTCTTTTGAATCTTCTTCTTCTTCTCTTCTACTCCTTTTAATACTCCTCCTTCTTTTTCGTTTAAATCTTCTTTTCTCCTACTTATCCTCCTCCTCCTCCTTCCAGCAATTCTTCTTCTTCTTCAAATATCTTACCAGCTTACATTTTTTTTGAAAAATCTTCTTCTTTTTTTTTTTCTACTTCTTCGTATTCTTTGAATCTTCTTTTTTTTCTAAATATTATCAGCAATATGTTTTTCCTCCTTCTTCATTTAAATTTTAAAAATATTCCTTCTCCTTCTTTTCCTGCTTCTCCCCTTCTCCTCCTCCTTTTTTTTTTAAAAAAACTTCTTTTTCTCCTTCTCCTTTTTTTCCTGCTTCTCCTCCTTTTTTGGAAAAAAAATTTTTTCATTTAAATCTTCTTCTTTTTCTCCTTCTCCTTCTCCTCCTGCTTCTCCTCCTTCTCCTCCTCCTCCTTCTTCTTCTTTTTCTTTTTCTTCTGTTGAATCTTCTTCTTCTTCATCTTCTTCGTCTTCTTCTACTACTCCTCCTCCTCCTTCTTCTTGTTCTTCATTTAAATCTTATTCTTTTTCTCCTTCTCCTTCTCCTCCTCCTTCTCCTTCTCCTCCTTCTTCTTCTTCTTTTGAATCTTCTTCTTCTTCTACTTCTACTCCTCCTTCTTCTTCTTCTTTTGAATCTTCTTCTTCTTTTTCTTCTTCTACTCCTTCTCCTTCTTCTTTTGAATCTTCTTCTTCTCCTCCTCCTCCTCCTTTTTTTTAATCTTCTTCTTCATATGAGTGGTCTCCACTTCCTTCTTCTTCCCAATCTTCTTCTTCCTCGTTTGAATCTTATTCTTCATTTGAATCTTCTTCTCCTCTTCCTCCTCCTTCTTCTTCTTCTTCTTCTTCTTCTTCTTCTTCTTCTTCTTCTTCTTCTCTCCCCGTTTATGTTTCTTTTATCATATCCTTTCTCTCTTTATCTTTTCAAGAATATGATCCCTGTCCTTTTCGCTTCTCTCTTCATTTCTTCATCCTCTTCCCATTTTTAATTTTTTCCTTCTCTCCATTTCTTATAACCCTTGGCTTTTTTTCTCTTTTCCGTTTTTCTTTCTTTCTTTTTCTCTTCATATCTTCAGATTTTTTCTTTCCTTTTCTCCCCACCCTCCTCTTTCTCCTCCTCATCTCTCCCCCTCCTCCTCCTTCTCCTCCTTCTCTCTCAAGTTTCCAGATTTTCTTTCCTTTTTCACCCCTCACTCCTCTTTTCTTTCTTTATTTTTCTCTACTCCTACTCCTACTCCTCCTTTTCCTACCTACAGCTTCCTTTGGTTTTTCTTTCTTTTTTTTCTCACTCTCCTCCTCCCCCTCCTGCAATTTTATCTCTAGTTTTCTTCACCCGCCTCTTACCTTTTCATATATTCAGTTTCCTTTTTTTTCTTTCCTTCTTTTTCTTCTCTTTCCTTTTTTCTCCTTCCCATTTCTAAGTCCTCTCTCTGCCCGTCTCCTTCTCTTCCTAAAATTTAATTATCGTCCAGGTGAATTAGGTTTGGCACTAAAAATTAGGCAAGGTCTCTCCCGGGGGGTCATCCATTATCCCTCCCCCCCCCCGAAGACGAATGGGAAGAAAGACTAGAATGGCAATCGAACCTTCTTACTAAGACACTTAATAAAGAGGCGCTTTATTTCGACCAATTAACGACCCCGAAAAGTCCGCGCATGCGTAGCCAGGAGCACACTTACTCATTAGCTTAAAGG